GAAGGGTTCACTAATGGAGACCACTTGCTAGAGGGTATCAGATGTAGATGTGAGGGTACCTGCAGTCTGTGTTCTTTAAACATGTGTTTTGTTGTTCATCATCAACTCATGTTGGAACTGAGTCCAGTTTGAATCTCTGAAATATTGTTTCATCTCTTTGATGGTGTGTCTTTGACCTCTGTTTGACCTTCTGTCCTCTGCAGACTCTGTCAGGCTGCTGGGGGGGACTGGTCTGTGCTCAGGCAGACTGGAGGTGAAGTCTGACCAGTCTAACCAGTCTAACCCGTCCTGGTCCTCAGTGTGTGAGGCTGACTTTGACCAGCAGGATGCTCAGGTGGTCTGCCGGCAGCTGGGCTGTGGGGCTCCTTCAGTCCTCCAGGGGGCGCTCTATGGAGAAGGGGAGGCTCCAATGTGGACCAAAGAGTTCCAGTGTGGAGGCCATGAGTCTGCTCTCCTGGACTGTAGCTCAGCCTCAGAGAGAAACACCTGCTCACCTGGCACAGCTGTTAGCCTCACCTGCTCAGGTAGAGAGGAGCTGTGATTGGTTCATTCTGTTCTCATCAAACTCACTTTATTCTCTCTCTGATCACTCTCTTGTTTCTCTTCAGAGCCTGGTGGTGTTAAGCTGGAGGGAGGAGAGAGTCGCTGTGCAGGAGACCTGGAGGTGGAACATCAGGGAGAATGGAGACCAGTGGGCCGTTACTCTCTCTGGACCCTGAAGGCAATAGGAGTCGCCTGCAGAGAGCTCGACTGTGGCTCTGCTGTTTCTGTGGGATGGAGAGAGAGAGAGGGGTCCTCAGGGAGACCTGTGTGGAGGATCGATCCTGACTGTGTTGAGTCTGGATCTGCTCTGAGGGAGTGTGCAGCATCATATTACTCTTCCTCCTTCCTGACTCTCACCTGCTCAGGTAAGCTTATCAGTGACATCATCAGTGACATCATCAGTGACATCATCTAAGACAGTCGTTTTAAGCAACCACAGTTCATGTGGGGGTTAACCGAGATTAAAAAGTGTCTAGAACAAATCCAGACATGATATAAACGTCACTGAACATTCATCTGGTAGCAGAGTGACATCTCATTTAGTATCCATCACAATCTGTATGAAATCCGTCTGATATTCATGTGGCAGAAGCTTTGTTTGTTTATCACGGGTAATCAGGTGTAATCAATACATACACAAGGTTTCAAATCAGAACATACGTAATATTTAATATGAGAGAGACTTTATATTTAACCTCCTTTATTTAGGACACAGTGTTTACAATTTCCACTGACAGCTAAATGTATGTTTCTCTGTGAATATGCATCAGTGCACGGTACTTTGAGGAGCAGCTGGTGTTAGGAGAGCGTTAGCTGAATGCTGGATGGGTTGGGGGCATGTCTCTTCTGGGCCCCCAGAGGGTCTTGCTGTGCCACTGCTCACAGCCATGAGGCCAGATCAATGAAAGCAGGATACATCCTTTACCGTCAAACTGGGTCTGAACACAGCTGCCTGTGTGCGCTTGATCAATACTTTCTGATGTTCTATTTATGATATGCTACTTATCAGCTACATGGCCCTAACGTGTGAAGTTACACAAGCATCTGTACCAGAGAGGAGGAGATGAAGAGAGCAGGAGGGTCAGAGCAGGAGGAAGAGGAGGAGATGAAGAGACAGGAGGGTCAGAGCAGGAGGAAGAGGAGGAGATGAAGAGAGCAGGAGGGTCAGAGCAGGAGGAAGAGGAGGAGATGAAGAGAGCAGGAGGGTCAGAGCAGGAGGAAGAGGAGGAGATGAAGAGAGCAGGAGGGTCAGAGCAGGAGGAAGAGAGGAGATGAAGAGAGCAGGAGGGTCAGAGCAGGAGGAAGAGGAGGAGATGAAGAGAGCAGGAGGGTCAGCAGGAGGAAGAGGAGGAGATGAAGAGAGCAGAGGGTCAGAGGAGGAGGAAGAGGAGGAGATGAAGAGCAGGAGGGTCAGAGCAGGAGGAAGAGGAGGAGATGAAGAGAGCAGGAGGGTCAGAGCAGGAGGAAGAGGAGGAGATGAAGAGAGCAGGAGGGTCAGAGCAGGAGGAAGAGGAGGAGATGAGGGAGCAGGAGGGTCAGAGCAGGAGGAGAAAGGAGGAGATGAAGAGAGCAGGAGGGTCAGAGCAGGAGGAAGAGGAGGAGATGAAGAGAGCAGGAGGGTCAGAGCAGGAGGAAGAGGAGGAGATGAAGAGAGCAGGAGGGTCAGAGCAGGAGGAAGAGGAGGAGATGAAGAGAGCAGGAGGGTCAGAGCAGGAGGAAGAGGAGGAGATGAAGAGAGCAGGAGGGTCAGAGCAGGAGGAAGAGGAGGAGATGAAGAGAGCAGGAGGGTCAGAGCAGGAGGAAGAGGAGATGAAGAGAGCAGGAGGGTCAGAGGGAGGAAGAGGAGGAGATGAAGAGAGCAGGAGGGTCAGAGCAGGAAGAGGAGGAGATGAAGAGAGCAGGAGGGTCAGAGCAGGAGGAAGAGAGGGATATGAAGAGAGCAGGAGGGTCAGAGCAGGAGGAAGAGGAGAGATGAAGACATTAGTGAAGAAGAAGACATGTATGTGAGGAAGATGAAGTGTCAGAAAGAGGGCCAGAGGCAGGGATCAGGAGGCAGAGGAGACTCCAGCTGGACCACATGGTATGTTCTTCTTCTCCTCACATCTTCCATCACAGCAGCTCAATCTAGCAGCTCTTAGTATTGACACATATTGAAATGTGTTGCTGCACAGGTCACCTCTAGCTCTCTGAAGAGATGGGTGATGTCATGTGTGTACTTCATTATAACTAAGTACTTTGACTGTACTTACAGTACACAGAGTTCTAGGGTACCATGAGTACTTTCTGCTGTTTTATACTATATGTTAGTTTGTTAGTCTGAACACCTTGTTTCTCTTGTGCATTAAGAACACTTGTGTTAGGCCATGATTTAACAATAAATAGGTTTTATATACAGTATGAAATACCACGTACTGTCGGCCCCTCCCATGCCACCCTGACCTCTTGCCCCCCCTTTGCCTCCCCATGTAAAATGTTCTAGAACCCCCACTGTGCAGGTGTGAGGTGAGACAGGTAACACACTGCTGCTGCTCCGGCAGTGATAACTGGGAGCCTCTTATTAGGAATAGAACAGCGAACATGTCTGCAAACACAAACTCTGTCAGAAGTGTGCAGCTGTTAAAGCCACTGACAGCCGATCCAGCAGCGATCAGGAATCACAAACGGAAGTCCTTTAACTTCACACTCAGAGGAAAGGACGTCTCATTGCTCTGAAAACACATTTCCTTACTCCCTCCCTCTTCGTGTGGAGGAAAGGACGCAAGTGAGGGAAGCATGGACTCAAGTTCAGAGACTTAGGATGGACCTCATATCGTGTTCTTCCAAGCTAGAGTAGAAGTGATATTAACATTGTTTTCCGCTTCGTTCTGATGCCTTAGTTTTACCGGGAAGTGGGCAGGGCAGTCATTTCGCTTGAAAGGGATGCACTCATGTGATTGGCTTAAATGATGCAGACATCTGATTGGCTACAGAAACTCCCATCTTGAATACATTCCTTTGTGAATCTAGCGGCGTCAGGGTGTCTCAGAAATCCACTCACAAAAGCATTTTTTATAGAAATGTAACAACATCAAATCTGTTATTGATGCACAACATTGAACACTTTTAAAGTCACTTACGCATCACTGTACCCTGTATACCAAGGAGGTTTGCCATCACTTACTGTACGGAGGCTCAGTCACTGGTACACGTTTATTTATAAAGCCATGTTGGGTAAACTCCCGTATTGTATCTGCTCTCTGATAACACAGAGAGTTGCAAGCAGCTATTGTCTGAGATGGCAGGATGTAGTCTTGTTAGATGTGCCAAGAGCAAGGACTGTCTTAGGGAAGACAGCTTTTATGTGCGCAGCTCCACTTGCTTGGAACAATCTTCAGCAAGAATTGAAACTGAGCAATTTCATTGCTCTGCATGTTTTTAAAGCTAGGCTAAGTGAAATGCTTTTTGATACCATGGGTACTTGTAAATGTCGATAACTATGTAAATGTAGCCTGTAAATATAATATATGATGTCCTTTATTGTTTTATGTTTGTTTTATGTTTCATGTGGAACCTATTTGCTGCAGGTCTCCCTTGAAAAAGAGATCTATGATCTCAAGGGACCAATCTTGTTAAATAAAGGTTTGAAATGAAATGAAAAAAAATGATGGTGTGTCTTTGACCTCTGTTTGACCTTCTGTCCTCTGCAGACTCTGTCAGGCTGCTGGGGGGGACTGGTCTGTGCTCAGGCAGACTGGAGGTGAAGTCTGACCAGTCTAACCAGTCTAACCCGTCCTGGTCCTCAGTGTGTGAGGCTGACTTTGACCAGCAGGATGCTCAGGTGGTCTGCCGGCAGCTGGGCTGTGGGGCTCCTTCAGTCCTCCAGGGGGCGCTCTATGGAGAAGGGGAGGCTCCAATGTGGACCAAAGAGTTCCAGTGTGGAGGCCATGAGTCTGCTCTCCTGGACTGTAGCTCAGCCTCAGAGAGAAACACCTGCTCACCTGGCACAGCTGTTAGCCTCACCTGCTCAGGTAGAGAGGAGCTGTGATTGGTTCATTCTGTTCTCATCAAACTCACTTTATTCTCTCTCTGATCACTCTCTTGTTTCTCTTCAGAGCCTGGTGGTGTTCAGCTGGAGGGAGGAGAGAGTCGCTGTGCAGGAGACCTGGAGGTGGAACATCAGGGAGAATGGAGACCAGTGGGGGACTCTCTCTGGACCCTGAAGGCAGCAGGAGTCGCCTGCAGAGAGCTCGACTGTGGCTCTGCTGTTTCTGTGGGAGAGAGAGGAGTCCTCAGAGAGATCTGTGTGGAGGATCAGACCTGACTGTGTTCAGTCTGGATCTCCTCTGAGGGAGTGTGCAGAATCACATTCCTCTCTCTACCTCCTGACTCTCACCTGCTCAGGTAAGCCCATCAGTGACATTGTTTATGACATCATGTCCTCTGTCTCTTTGTTAGTCTCTCTCTCTCTCTGACAAAGAGACAATCCCTCTCTGCTACCTGGACTGTCACAGACTGAAAGCTCTTTGTAATGTCTTCAAAGCGGTGTCTTCAGACTGAGAGGAGGTTTTCACAGAGACTGTTTTTATTGTTGCTGCTGGGGCAGGCAAACATGTGGATCTCCAGAAGCAGGAACAACAAAGTAAACAGTACAGCAGCTCAGCAACTCACTAACATGTGTTTCTCTTGGTGAAAGCAAGAGGGAGTTAGATTTTAGATTTCACTCTCTGATGAGAAACATGGAGGAGCTTTTAAACTGTTATAAAGGAGTCTTTAAAAGATCTAATCTCCTCTCTCTCTCTCTCTCTCTCTCTCTCCTCTCTCTCTCTCCGGAGCTCTCATACTTTCGATTCTGTTAGTCTCTCGCTTATGCACTCTTTCTGCTCTTCTCTCTCTGCTCTCTCTCTCTCTCTCTCTCTCTATCAGTCTGAGCAAGTAATTAACCCTCTCTCTCTCTCTCTCTCTCTCTCTCTCTCAGTCTTGAGAGGTCATTAACCTCCTTGAAACCTGGGATTACAGAGTTCAACTTGTTTCAGTAAATGCTCCTCACTTCGTTGAATGTTTGGCACTTTAGGAGGAAGTGCATCTCTGTCTCAGTCTCACCTGTCGTACAGTGACCACATATTCTGTTTTCTTTTGGTTGCCAGGATCTGTTGTGTCTTCCTGTTGCCAGTGTGTGGTCACTGAGCCTGTGCTTGGTTAGGATCTGTCTCTGCTTTCTATCTCTGACAGTAGACAGATATTCTGCCAGCTCATACTCTCTCTTTAGAGCCAGGTAACATTCTAATCTACTTTGGCTTCTAGTTTCTTCTTTCCAATGTTCTAAATAGTTGTGTTTACATTGTGTTATAATGCGTTTGACTGTGATTGGTGTTTGGAGAGCAGTGTTGTTGAGAGACTGGTCAGAGTGGCTCTGAGAGGGGGCAGTTAGCCTCAGCACCAGCTGACATAGGGGACTCTTCTCTGGGGTTAGCTCTTGGCTTTGGAGGGCTTTGGAGTGGAGGGTGTCTCGGGGGCTGGATCTAAGGTGGTTAAAGAATGTTAGTGCTCTCTTTTGAGTGTTAATGATCAGAGGGTATCTGCCTAATTCTGCTCTACATGCATTTGTTGGTGTTTTTCTCTGAACACGTCAAATGTATCTGCAGAATTCTGCATGTAAAGACTCTGTTGGATGTTTGTCCCAGCGGGTATAGCTCTGGTGTGCATCAATAACATATTTGATATTGCATTTTTACAAAACGCAACTGAGTCCAGTTTGAATCTCTGAAATATAGTTTCATCTCTTTGATGGTGTGTCTTTGACCTCTGTTTGATCTTCTGTCCTCTGCAGACTCTGTCAGGCTGCTGGGGGGGACTGGTCTGTGCTCAGGCAGACTGGAGGTGAAGTCTGACCAGTCTAACCAGTCTAACCCGTCCTGGTCCTCAGTGTGTGAGGCTGACTTTGACCAGCAGGATGCTCAGGTGGTCTGCCGGCAGCTGGGCTGTGGGGCTCCTTCAGTCCTCCAGGGGGCGCTCTATGGAGAAGGGGAGGCTCCAATGTGGACCAAAGAGTTCCAGTGTGGAGGCAATGAGTCTGCTCTCCTGGACTGTAGCTCAGCCTCAGAGAGAAACACCTGCTCACCTGGCACAGCTGTTAGCCTCACCTGCTCAGGTAGAGAGGAGCTGTGATTGGTTCATTCTGTTCTCATCAAACTCACTTTATTCTCTCTCTGATCTCTCTCTTGTTTCTCTTCAGAGCCTGGTGGTGTTAAGCTGGAGGGAGGAGAGAGTCGCTGTGCAGGAGACCTGGAGGTGGAACATCAGGGAGAATGGAGACCAGTGGGGGGCTACCCTCCCTGGACCCTGAAGACAGCAGGAGTCGCCTGCAGAGAGCTTGACTGTGGCTCTGCTGTTTCTGTGGGACGGAGAAAGGAGTCCTCAGAGAGACCTGTGTGGAGGATCAGATCTGACTGTGTTGAGTCTGGATCTGCTCTGAGGGAGTGTGCAGCATCACGTTCCTCTAACTACCTCCTGACTCTCACCTGCTCAGGTAAGCCCATCAGGGACATTGTTTATGACATCATGTCCTCTGTCTCTTTGTTAGTCTCTCTCTCTCTCTGACAAAGAGACAATCCCTCTCTGCTACCTGGACTGTCACAGACTGAAAGCTCTTTGTAATGTCTTCAAAGCGGTGTCTTCAGACTGAGAGGAGGTTTTCACAGAGACTGTTTTTATTGTTGCTGCTGGGGCAGGCAAACATGTGGATCTCCAAAAGCAGGAACAACAAAGTAAACAGTACAGCAGCTCAGCAACTCACTAACATGTGTTTCTCTTGGTGAAAGCAAGAGGGAGTTAGATTTTAGATTTCACTCTCTGATGAGAAACATGGAGGAGCTTTTAAACCGTTAGTGTTTCACTCCATCTGTGAGCTCTGTGGTGGAGGGAGGCCTTGCTTTGAACTCTGATTCTATCTGAAGAGATGTGTTTAACAAATCAAATCTTCTCAATGTCTAGCTAACTAAGATCATTGTTGTTGTTAATAAAGGAGTCTTTAAAAAATCAAATCTCCCCTCTCTCTCTCTCTCTCTCTCTCTCTCTCTCTCTCTCTCTCTCTCTCTCTCTCTCTCTCTCTCTCTCTCTCTCTCTCTCTCTCTCTCTCTCTCTCTCTCTCTCTCTCTCCAGATAAGCTGTTTCAGCCCAACATATCTGTGTCCTCCTCCATGTACGGGGTCTCCGGGGCCCAGCAGCAGGGGTTCCAGGTGTTCAGAGGCTTCACCTTCACCATCAGTTGCTCCATCCAGCCTCAGTACCCAGGAGGCTCCTTCCTGCTCAGCTCCTCCACTCACAACTACACCCAGCCAGCTGTCAATCACTCTGCCCACTTCCTGTTCTCGGCTGCAGAGCCCGCCCACCAGGGAAGCTACAGCTGTGTTTATGTCTCTGCTTTTTCTCAGGACTTCTCCTCTGAGAGCCGTCTGCTCTCCGTCACCGTCACAGGTGAGCTGTTAGAGTTTACTGTAGGACAGAGCGTGATGCTCCCCAGGAGAACGCTGGTGAGGACTGAGTGTTTTACTGTGAGCCCTGAAGCAGTCACACCCTTACATCACATTTAGCTTTCCAGAGCAACGTACATAAGTGCAATGAACCGTGAAGACATGAATCCAGAACAGCAATTCTCCAGTCAGCTGTAGTTTACATTGGAGTATTGCCATGAGTACTGACTGTTCAACAGATACAGCTAGCAGCTTCTCCCTACAGTCCTACTGTCTGGTATGAACTGGAAAAAGGGTTGGGGTTGAATGAAGATCTTAAGAAGATGTAGTTTATTGTAATATAACTGTAGAGGAGTCTCCATGCTGAAGTGGGTTCAGGTCTCTGTGTGTTTGCTGACTCTTGATGTGATGCTGTCCATGTGTTTGATCAGATCCAGGACCTTTTATCATCCGAGCCGTCGTCCTGCCGCTGACTCAGCTGCTGGTGCTGCTGGTGACCGTCGGCCTTTACTTCTACTGTAAGGTACGGAAACATGTTGTTGTTCCACTGACTGAATGATAAGGTACTGAAACATGTTGTTGTTCCACTGACTGAATGATAAGGGACTGAAACATGTTGTTGTTCCACCACTGACTGAATCATGAGGTACTGAAACATGTTGTTGTTCCACTGACTGAATGATAAGGGACTGAAACATGTTGTTGTTCCACCACTGACTGAATGAAACAGTGTGTGTTATTGAACAGGAGTGATGCAGGAAGTCTCACTGTGTGCTGTCATGTCTCTCCAGGCCACCAGGGGGCGGAGGCCGAGCCGACAGGAGGACATTGAGCTGGATTACCTGGGTGTTCCTGCTGAAGAGGAAGGAGCTCAGGGAGCAGAGTAGCAGCTCCAAGGAGCTCCTCTCACACACATGGGTTTATCAGCTCTTATAGCTTTTAACCAACGTTAGAAAATATAGCTTTCACTCTGAAAGTCACCAGCAATGTGTTAGTGCCTCATGTTTCCTGACTTCCTGTCAGCTCCAAGCCAATTGGTTCCCACTGAAGATGAAGATCTTTAAAAAACATCACAAGTTAGTTTTATTTTTAAAAGTCAATGCAGTCGGTGCAGTTTGAAACCAGACACACCAACCCAGGCCGCTCAGGAACTAAGTTGGCCAATGAATGCCATATATTAATGTTCAAATATCCTCTAAAAACAGTGTTACAAAACCCAATGTTTGAATCTAATGTAGTGATTCCTGAGATAACAGGAGGAACGCGTTACAGCGCCACCTAGTGTTAGATTTGTAGACCTCGAGCACAACAAGGGTTTTTGTTATTCAATCAACAAATAAGACAAAGTACAGTTTTTAAATGTTACGTTTTTCACAACAATTCATCTGATCAGCGAGATAGGATATTTGATCCCCTTGTGGGTCACATGGGTCATTTTAGCAGCAGGGCCAGATTTAGCTGAACAATATACAAATAGGAATTGAACAAAAGTAAATAGTCCAAACACTTCTTATTTCATAACAATGCAGATGTTTTTTTTATTGAAAAATGTGATTTCAGTTTAATTTAGCTTGATTTTAGTCTGAAGAGATTGTTTGTTTAAAAAAAAGAAGCTTTTTCAGAGAAATCCGATTATATTTGTAATTTGCCAAAAAGTATAAGATTGTAACTTTTCTTCAAAGTTCTTATTTCACATGTACTGAGCTCAGTTTGTAATCATTTTCAATCATTCAGTATTTTTCTTACGTTATATCATTTTTGATGGTATTTCTCTGTATTTTGTAGTAATTTAGCTGTTTTTAAGAACTCCACCTATTGGAGAGCATTCCCAAATTCATAAGATATTAAATACTAACATGTTGAAATTAAAAATGTACATAATTTGGTAGAAGTTTCCTTTTTAAAAGGTAATGCGCTTTGTTATGTGATCAAGAAATGTGCTTGTTTTTGTATTATTGAGGATTGTACTTATTTCACAAGATGATCAATAATCTGTAATCATTACTTTTTGGACTTTTATGAAACATTTTTAATTTCTTTTGAATTTCACTTTTTTCAAAGAATTCAGATTATTTTTGTGATTTAGGATTTTCCCAAATTCAGGAGACTAATTATTTCGTACTTAAAATGTTAACATTGTCCGTAAACAAGTGTTGTGATTTTGGAACCGAGAAATGTTTTTGCTTCATAAGAATTTTGATTGATTTTGTTGTTTTTTGCATTTCTGAAGAATTTAGCTTTCGCCAATTAAGGTTTTTTGATGTGGATTTTTTTTAACAAATGTTGTCATCGCTGTCATTTGCTATGTACCAAAAAAATAATAAAACTTCTTTAATAATCCATGAAACTCTGAGAGTGAGCTGATTTCAAAAGTGTTTCTCCTGGTTTGCTTTGTTTCTGTGTGAGAATTAAACCTCAAGGCTTTAGTTCTAACAGGTTAGTATTGAAATAGCTGATTGATTGATAGCGTACAGCGCCCATAAACTATGGCAGGGGTCTGCAACCTTTTGGACCCAAAGAGCCATTTTGCCCCCTTTTCCACCCATTTCTTTTGTCTGGAGCCGCAAAACTGTTGGCAAAACATATCTGATAGCTTGATAGCCTATAACGTTGTATTAATTGTTATATCATAGACATGTATTATTTATTACATTAAAGAAAACTGTTAACCTCTAATAATAAACAAAGAACTCGTATAAGGAGAATAAAAAGAAATACACAGGCCTACTTTAAAATAAATGAAACACAGCACTTGGGGAGTCCTCTGCACATTTGAAGGAAATAAATACAATTCAAATGGGCCCACTTTGAAATAAATAAAAGCTACACACTGTGAAACAGTTCATGTCAGTTCAACTTGCAAATGAAAGTCCACCTGCTGCCTTGGAAAAGCAAATCAAGTCAACTTGAAGACAAACTTTGTTTCAACTCATTAATGCAAGTCAATCTCGTTGATATGACTTAAAGGTTCTAGTTGTATTAACATTGTTTTTTTTAAGTTGTTTAACCCTCCTATTGTCTTCGTTCCCCCCCTTACTTTGGTGTTCGCGGTCAAATTTGACCGGTCCTGTTTTAGCTGCTATTACATTCAAACAAAAACCATGAATCATCACCAAATGTCATTTAACACCCTTTCAAACTGTACATATTGTATCAGACTACTGGTACACATGAACAACTGCAGTAAATATACAAAGAATAGACACTGAACATGTATTGCGTGTGCCAGGTGTGATCCATGTGGTGGGGGTGGGCAAATATAAGGGGGAAAAAATATAGAGTGTGGTTTGTGTGTGTGTGTGTGTGTGTTGTCGTTTGTGTGTGATGTAGTTTGTGTGTGTGGTGTGTAGTGTTTTGTGTGTGTATGTGATGTGTGTCGTGTGTGGTAGCCAGTGTGTGTTGTGTCATGTGGTTATGTGCTATGTGTGTGTGTTGTGTGATGTGTGTATGTGTGTGTGTGTCGTGTGTGCCTGTGTGTGTGGTGTGTGTGTATGTGTGTGTGTGTGTGTTGGTGTGTGTGTGTGTGTGTGCTGTATGATGTATGTGTGTGTGGTGTGTGTGTGTGTTTCGTGTGTGGTCGGTTGTGGTGTCTGTGTGTGTGTGAATGTGTGTGGGTGTCTGGGTGTGGGTGTGATCTGTGTATGTTGTCTGGTGTGGGTGTTGTGTGTCGTGTGTGTGTATGTGTGTGTGTGTGTGTGTGTGTGTATGTGTGTTGTCTGTGTGTGTAGTGTGTTGTCTCTGTGTGTGTGTGTGTGTGTGTGGTGTGTGTTTGGTGTGTGTGTGTGTGTGTGTCCTTGTGTGTGTGTGTCGTGTGTGTGTGTGTGTGTGTGTGTGTGTGTGCTGTGTTGTGTGTGTGGTGGTGTGTGTGTTGGTGTGTGGGTGTGTGTGTGTGTGTGTGTGTTTATCTGATCCGGATGGTTACTAATTCCTTTTCTTTATGGGGAACACCATGGGTGTTTCAAAGTTGACTAAATCATCCAAAGTTCAATGAAAGTGGTGATCAGCAATTTGATATGTTCAAATGTCTACTGTGAAGGATATCATAAAGCCTTAATGCAATTGAATGTAAAACAAAAAAGTTATGATTGATGAAAGTAGTAAATCGGTCAGATTTGACCCGAAGACAACAGGAGGGTTAAGTTGTTTTAACTTTATACTCAGAGTTGAAGCAAATACCAATCTGACATTATTAGAGCAAGGAAACCTTATTTACCTCCTAGTCAAATAAACTCACATTTCAGTCTTATTATAACTCACACTTTCAAGTTCTACATTTATATAACTCATCATTTCAAGTTAAGAAGATTGTAATAATACATTTGTTTCAACTTAGATCTATTAGTTATATTGACTTCTGATTGCAAGTTTATTATTACATAATAATTATTGCAGCAAATTTGTTCAGATATATAACATGTATTTAAAAAAACATGTTATAAATCAACTTGAACACGGCATGTACTCGCTACAGGGTGTACTGAGGGTTTGTGACTGCAGACCGGTTACATGCAGAGAAAGCTACATCACACGGGGACGGGTAAGAACAGAAAAGCATGACATGGGACCTTTAAATAAAAGTGTTGGTTCATTAGGAAAGTTATTATCTCCCAAAGTATATACATTTAGACAATCAAACATTCAGTTCAGGAAAGCATAAGGGTTTACCACCTCTTTGCCCTCTTTTCTTTGTGTGGCCTGCTGACCTGACCTGACCTGCGCTGTACAAACTACAGATCCATCTCTAGGCTCAGCAGCCCTGTCCCCCCATAAGGCTGAACCTGAACCAGCTGTTCTCCCAACTGAAGGAGGTGAGCAGCATTGTGTTGAATGACATGCCACTTAACATATCTGAAGGGAGACAGGAATACAACATATATATCAAAACAAATATCTTTGGGGCCCAATGTGATATATTTTCACGGGGCCCAAAATCCCTGGCGGCACCGCTGCTTAGGATCACACTTTATCAATCCTTTTGATCGTTCAATCCGCACTTTAATCCAA